TGGCTAATTAACCCTTAGCTGCTCCTTTAACATATGCTTAAGAAGTAAAGCAAAACAATCCAGATGTCTTTTAGTCAGAAAAATTTAATTGCATGGTATTAGGGTTTTTCGTCAGAACAAGCCGGGTACAACTTCTGTGTTATATTGTGTCATTCCTGATACTGTAGAGCCAGCAAACAGAGCAGTGTCACTGAATTACCATATCTATTTGAAATTAATAGTTGTACAGTATGGCAGAATGTAAATTCATTAAAATACAGTATTTAGGAGTCATTTTTATGAGCAACTTTCCTTTTCTTCTATTTAAATATCTAATTTAAGATGATTATTTAATGTATTCAACTTGGTTTCCTTATAAAAAATCAGTCCAGGGGAGAAGAATATTCTTTAGGAAAGTAAAGTTCTGATTTTGAGAAATGTTTGAGTCTTAGAGGTTATTTTGTGTTCTGATCTTTTTCTCCCCTTCAGAGCATTTTGAATGCTGCTTTGGGTTAAATGTCTTTTTAAAAAATAGTTGTTTTGGGCACTACCTCCCATGTAATTTATGGAAATGCTTATCTGTATTTTAGTTAAAGTTGCATATTGTTAAATGTTAAAAACAAAAAACAAAACCCTTCACTCAAATGTATTTTGTTTCTGTGCAGAGCTGTGAACGCTTCAAAGCTGTTTTATGAACTAGATGTTTCCGAGTTAGGGATTCACATAATAACGAATTCTGCTTATTTTGGTTCCACAAAGGTTTGTTGTATGAGCTTAAAATAAGACTGCAGCTGATTTGTGTAATGTACATTAACTGTTTATTTAGTTTAAGTGCACGTCTGTATCGCTCGCTTCTGATCAACCTGAAAAATTTGCATGCTGCGCGGCAGCCATCTTCTTTATACTTTATTAAATATCTGTCAATTATAAATATCAAGGTTTTACATTAATGTCAAGATAGTACATCAAAAATTCATGGAATATGTGACTTTTTCCAAGGGTATTTAATACTTAATGCATTTGTGTCATTTTTCTTTCCAGAGATATTGACAGGTTTTATTAAGTGTTTGTTAGGGAGATTTCATTTTTATCAAGGGACTATAAAGAGAAGCTGCATGCTAAATCAATTTTTTAAAGCCAGAATATTGTTCATTTTTTCATCTTCAAACACTTATAATCCATAGGTTTTATTTAAATTTTTTCTTGGTTTATTTTTGTTTTATGTGAGTGATAGTTCAAGACAGTACTTTAATAAGGATCAAATATGCTGACTGTAGTGGTTTTTAATTTCCTTAAGCATAGCTACCAGACCCATGCAATATGGTAAATTCTTCAAAATGTCATACTTACATATTTAGCAATATTGCTCCTTTTTATTGAAGCCAAACAAACAATTTTAGGTATTAATCTTTCCCTAACATAGTGATTATTTTGTACTAGATACAGTATTACTGTGTCTCACATGAAATGCCTCTTTTTGATGGAAAGGGGAATGGGACGAGTGCTTTGCTGGGTTGCCTGGCTTGGCAAAAAGGAAACTGGAATCCTCTTCCGAAAGTAAGCTCTTCAGTTCATCGAGTCTGATTATGAGCTACAGCAATTGCTCATTTCTCCAATCTCAACCAATTATTGTTCTCAAAAAAGTAAAAATATCAGTTGCTTTAAATACCTGCAGAAAACCTGCCTCTGGTGTTTGGGCCTGTGTTTATTGGGGGATTGGGGTTGGGGGAGTCAGTATTTCAGCAGATCTGCCACCTGCTCCCACTGGGCCCCAAGGCCTGAGAGGCCCTGTCACTGTCATCTTTTTTGAGGGGCCCTGTCACTGTCGTCTTTCTGGCAGTAGCCAGACAGAAGCTATTTGGGTACCCTCTTTACCATCCCAGGTGTGTCTATATCTTGGGAACTGTAATTACAGTTGGTTTGGAAGAGAAAAACAATTGACTGCAAAGAGTAAGTTTCTGATTTAATATTACATTTTTATTTGTAAAGTACAGGCTAAGAGTATCTTCCATTGGAAAAGGCTGTCGTGCTTAACAGAGGCCTTAGAGGAATTGGCTCTGTGAAGTGAAGAATGTTCAGTTATCCTCTCTCTACAGTATGAGCTTAAATGCTTTCATCTAAGAACATCTTAGGAACTTTCAGATAACTTCAGATTAATATGATTTTTGGAAGACAGTTTTAAACCTTAACTTGGTCTTCAACAAGGGAAAAAGGCTTGGTGAGGTTTTTTTGGTAAAATAAAATCATTGTCTAGAGCTTAAATGAAAATTATTTTGGATAGACAGTTCATCCATGCTCATTTTTTTCAGAATAAGTAAAAACATTTGTTTTGAAAATTAAATACTTCTCATGTACAAATTATGTTTAATATTTTAATGTTTCAAGATCATTATAAAACCATTGTATTATTATAATCATGTTTAGAGTAGATTTTTTTTTCTTTCAGACACCAAGTCAACAGTAGTCATTTTCCATAAACCCAATTTGGATTTACAATAAGTTGCTATAAGGCCTTGCCCTGGGAAATAATTCAAGAACTCTCCAACTGTGATCTACTCTCCCAAGATGCCAGTAGGTGGCGAGAGTGTCACAGTAGTGAGATGAAAGTTGTTTCTCCATAGTGTCATGTTGCTTCTGTACCACTGTTAAGTGCATGTGTCAGTGGCAGAATAGCTTTTTATTCTAGAATTACATACAGTGGGCACACCCTATTTTTTAAGAAGATAAGAACAATCATTTCTAACAGATTCTGCAAATATTATGCAACCATACAACCTAAGTAATCTTTAGAATTAATCTGAAGAATGCATTTACGTGTTTTCTTCTTGAGTTTTTTTTTTTTTTATTGCCTTCATGAGTACTGTGAACATGAACTTATATTTTGGGTAAGACATGCATATAAACAGTAGGAAGGACAAGGTTTTGGAGAGTTAATTTTCTAACTCTTTAGTTCCTGAGGAAATTACCCATGTTTGCCTACTTTTGTAGGGTCTATGGCTATTTAAAGAAATTTGAGTGTTGGAAGATTCTTCCTCCAGTCGTTTTGAGATTCAGCATTCCAGTTTTGAAAATTTTCGTTTTTCACTTGCTATTTAATAAACTGAACTTTTTTGGTGAGAGGGTGAAATTTTTAGTACATATGGGATTTAGCTTTGAAATTTACCAACTTTCCAGTTACCATAGTGAATTTTATAGTTTGATTGAATTTAAATATTAAAAATAACAAAACAACAATATTTTTACCTACTAGAGTATGAAAACACACAGGATATGCAAAGTTTTCAGTTGATCAGATAGTGTGAAATTTCATTTTATTGCAGTAAAAGAAAATTTTTGCAAAGGAATATCTTTACAATGTTGAAGATTTCTGTGCTACATTTTATCCAATCAGTTTTGGGGCGAGAGGTGGTTCTTTTGTGCTGATTTATACTTTAAGGAAAACCTGAACACTGTCGTGGTTACATTTAATAATTAAATGGAGAACATCTTTAGGACTCTTAGAACATAGCCTTGCATTTCGTTCGTTACAAAGAAAGGGAGTAAGAAACTCTGCTCCTTGGGAGTTTCACCTCGTCCTCCCTGTGGTTGACATGCTATCGATCCCCCTGCTAGGATTTCCTGATCACCCTGTATCAGCTAGAAAATACCACTGGGCCATATGCGATATTATCTGTCGATCTGAAATATATCACCTTTAATTTCACTTTTGTTATCGCAAACATACATTTTAAAAATTAAAGGAATATATTTCTATATCTTCAAATTTTCTTCTTCTGAAGGGTTAAAACTGGGCTAAGGACTGGAGGGGAGAGACAGGCACCTGGGAGCTAACACCCAATTGGCAGCCTTTTGTAATACATAATTTGCCTAAAATTGCGCACTGAGCACAAGCTTTTGTTTTCTAATTGATTTACGGTTTGAGCCACTTTTACCTCATCCCCTACTGTCCTGCATACGGTGCCAGCAAGTACATTACATTGAGCGATGATAAATTACAGTGCACTTGTGATGCCAATGCGTCAAGAGTAAACTGCACGCTGCACGGAGCTGCGTGCATTAACAGTGCTGCAGACACGCTGCAGCAGGATTTCACTCGTGGCTCAGAAATAACCATTTGTTCATCAGATCACTTACTGCAATCTGTCTATCAGGCAGTAATTGAAACCGAATATTAAAATTATATGGTTACAGCTTTTAATTTCTTAATTGAGACACAGTTTTTAAGTGCTTGAAAGGTCTAAGGGGGGGACATTGTGAAAGGAGAATATGAAATGTATAAAATTTTCTCATAAGTGTGAAATTTTGGATATTTTTACCAAATGTTCTTTTGTTCAGGAAAAAAAGTAGTAAAATTTCAGTATGCTGCCCTCTGTTTTATCTTTACCTTATTTCCTTGTAAAATTTATCTTGTGATCTCATAAAACTGTACTGTTCTTGATTGTCTGTATTTGATGCACATTTGCCATATATATGATTCATTTGCCCATGAGTTAATTCCCATCACATGATTTAAGTCTGCGATAAATGAAGGAACTTTCCATTTATTAGAGTGCCTTTAATTGTTCCTTTCACTGATATCAGAAGAAATGTGAAGCTTGTTCCGAAGGCCTGTGCTGTGCATCACAGGGAAAGCACGTACAAAGAAAGGCCAGGACAACACCTCAGTTCAAGTTCGGAAGCACCACATTTCTGTTCAGAGCAGATGCTTGTGGCGTGGGTGTGCCTTCCTTTTGTAAAGTCAGTCCACCTTAAATTTTATTTTGCGCGGTGTCTGTGGGTGCTAGTATCGAAATACGAAGCAGCAGATTTATGGCGGCTGCTGGGCACAACAAATTAAGTTGACAGTGATGGATGGGAGCATAATAGCGTGATGATCCCTCCGTAGCGCGGCTGGACGCCTCCTGCTTCATTTGGCTCTTGTTAGGATCTGTTAGGCAGCTAAATAATGGAATTCTGCTGACTGATTTCTGTTTTCCCTTTTTCTCTTTTCACCTCTGCTTTCTAAAACTTCTAATTCCCAGACCCATCCTCATGCCAACAAACTGCCCTTGAAGGATTCTTTCACTTATGAGGACTACAGGTTGGTATGGAGGTGTGTGTGTGTGTGTGTGTGTGTGTGTGTGTGTGTGTGTGTGTGTGTGTGTGTCTGAGTGTGTGTGTGTATGATGGGGGTGGTTTCTAAGTGAATGCGGGATCTTGGAAGTAAGGAAAATGCATCAGTAGGAAGTGACCTGCTGTGACCATTTAAAGCATCAAAACAAAGATAGACTTTCAGAAGTTATAATGAACAGCTTGGATAAGTATCGGCATTTTAATAGCCTTGTAGAAATTGCCATTAACCTGGAATGGTAGGGGATTAGTTGAGGTAGCCAAGTGCTGCTGAGATTAACATTAGTGTTGGGTGGCCATAAGGATTTTTTTTTTCTTATTTAAGAAAGACTATGTAAGTATAAAATGGGGACTTTTTTTTGAACGAGAAGATTTAATTCGCTGCACAATGTAATAAAAAAATCACATTTTATGTTTCGTACAGTTCTTAGAGGATTTCTGATCAGAGAGGAGTTTTATCGTTTGCTTTTCATGGAGGCTTAAAACAGATGCAGAGTCAGCATTTGGGCAAAAGAAAGTCGGGCTGCTCTGGGGGAGGGCTTTTGCCAGTCCTGGAGACCCTGACAGGGCCCTGAGACCTGTGCACAGCTCTCCTGGGGGTGGGGGGATGCGGCCTCCTGTGACAGCCTCCCTTCAGGGTGTGTCCTGCACTTCCTCCGGCCCTCCTGTCCCTTCCCTTTCCCCTTCCTCCCCTCAGCCCTACATGTAGTTTTAGATGGAGGGCAAGCATTAACCTTCGCTACTTAGGAAAAGGCTTTGCACATTTGTGAGCGGTCCGTGACCCTCAGGCTGTGGTCGTTTCTTAGTTCTTGGGCTTTTAAGTTCCAGCCTCAAATCACTTTTTTGATTGTTTTGTTGTCATAGGTGGGCAGTCTCTTCTGTTATGACACGACAAAACCAGATCCCTACAGAGGACGGTTCTCGGGTGACCCTGGCTCTGATTCCTGTGTGGGACATGTGCAACCACACCAACGGCCTGGTAATGACCCCCTTCCTCCGTGTGTGATCAGGGAGGCTGCCGTCTTAGTCCTGGGCTCTTGCGGTGATCCACCCCCCATGGATATTTCCCTGCACCTTCCCCCAAAGAACAAACAAAACCAGATCCGCGTTCCTCCCCACCGCCTACAAGGAGAAGCTGGCATTTTTCTTTCACTGTTAACTTAATACTGAAAACTGGGAACTTGCATCTTATGCCACTTTCAAAAACCACAGAAAGCTCCATTTATTTGCTAAGCCATAATTCCAGCCTAAACATTCATTTTCTTATCTTATTGTACCGCAGACTAAACCAAAGTTTCTTTTTTCTTATTCTTCTTAATATATTCATTTATTGGGAAAAAAATCTTTCTCATTTTCTTTTTTGTGTTCTTTTTTTTTTTTTTTTTTTCCTTTGCTGACTCTCTGTTTCCAGTTATGTAGTTTTCTACGATTCTTTCCTGTCTCTTGCACCTTCCCCTGATAGGCTGACGAACTCTTGGCTGTGTTTCTTAACCTGCTTTGTAAGGAGGAGGGGGACTGGTGTGCTTGGCTCTTGGTCCTTAAACGCTGGAGTCACTTGGCATCATCAGGCTTGGGGAGCCCTTGGATAGGAGACATTCAGAAAGTAGGGACTTTTTTTCTTACTGTAAACTGCAGTTTATAAAAGGAGGGTGCGGTCCCTGTTGCTCAACATTCTTTGGATTATGGCAGCCACACAGGTTGATGCTCTCTCTGTGCTAAGAGGGTTGTCTGGGAAAGATGTCCTGATACTCGGGGGTGAAAATATGTTAAATTTCAGGTCATTTTGAAATATTCACTATTATACGCTTAACGCTGGTTGGTGAGATTTTTTTGTGTGTGTTCATCTTTTCTCAATGTCAGCTTTCTTTGTTATTATTAGCAGTATTATAAATAGACTCAAGACGAGCTGTAAATGATTAGTTCACATCTAATTCCACAGAATGGCCAGAATACATGTAACGTGTGCCAGACACTTAAGATAGAATATCCTAGTGCTAATTTGAGAAGGTCTAGCAACAAGTATGCTCTTGAATCTTAAAAGTATTTAAGCTGTAACAGAAAGAGTAGTTCTGCTTTAATAATGACATTTTTGCCTTAGTTTATATATACTTAATTTAATTAGTAATACTAGGAAATAGTGGCATGTTTTATAATTTATTTTCATTAATGAATATGTTACATTTTTTGTTTTTTTTTTTTTCAAAGATATTTTAAACCAATCATAAACTTGATATTTAAAAATTTTGGAATACCTTTTAATATCTGACTATTGTATTTTTCTTTTTCCTTTTTTTAGATTAAATCATTGGTCCCCAAACTTGATTGATCACTAGAGTCTATGTTTTTATTTATAAAGTTTTAGAAAATAAATGCTTTACTGTAAACAGACAAAAAGAATGAACCCATATAGGCCTCGAGGTAAAATGAGCGTCTGCCTCCCCTGGCCCCGGACCCTGTGGTCCACCTGACGCCGGCGAGGTCTCACGGTCCATGGCTTTAATCAAGTCTCTCCCGTCCTTTGAGGTGCATGGGCCCCTCTAACACTCATATACACGTTGGCTTTTGTTTTGCATCCATGTAAATGGGATAAAGTGATTCACTGCCCTCCCTTAAAAAATGGAAAAAAAATTAGTTTATCTCAAAATAAAAATGATGAATTGGCGACCACACTGCTGTATTTTCCCAAATACTATTTATATGGTTTTTCACCTGCCACAGTCCTGGCAGAAACATTGCTGACCTTCAGGAGGTTTGTTCAGGATGCTGGCGCCTTTTTTTTTTTTTTTTTTTAAGAATGGCTATGTTCCCTACATGCTTCACTCTATACCTTTGTGGAACTGTTTCCCACTGTAATTATGAGACTTCACAGGAAATTTACTGTGGTAGAATTTAAGAAATTCTATTTTAATCCTGTAAGTTGTATATGATACAGAGGTAACGGTTAATCTCTTTTTGAAAATGAAGTACTTGAAATCAAGGCTTGGCTTTTCAGACAAGAGATTTTCTTTTTTGTGTGTGTCTATCCTGACGATCGTTTTCTTATTGTCAGTCTATCCTGACTGTCACTGAGGGAGTAGGTAGACATTTGTAACCCAGCAACGCTGTCTACTTCTAACAATATCCAAAAAACCTGACTGTGGTAGTAGAAACGGAAGAATCACGTCTGCAGCAGTAATTCTAAACCAGTAACAGTGAGAAAGGCAGGAGACAGTGAAAGGCTGGATGAAGAGATTCTGGCGAATGTGAACTAATAGCCCAGCCACTTGGAGAAACGTGGGGAGAAAAGGTTGTCAGGTGTACTTCTAAGTCGTGAGAAAGAATATGTTTCTACATCTTGCGTGATTGGTTCAAACTTAACATAAGCAGCAGTTTTCCTTTCTTGAAGTGGTTCGGCTTACATGAGAAGGATCCTCTAAGTGGCTTATAGACGATGATGTTAGTTCCGATACATGTAGCATGTTGGCATCATCAGCCCTTGCATTTGAATATGTGGCTCTACTGGGTAGGATACAAAGGCAGCTGAAAATTCAAGCCGAATTGAAGGAAGCTGTTTTTCAAGTCTTTCTGTTTGTGAACTGAAAACACATCTAGAGAATTTAGATTTACATGAGTCTTACAGTCTCAAAGCCCAAGTTTTGACAGCAGCAACTAGCCTCCCTGCCCATCCTGTCCTACTGCCCACCACACAAGGCTGACTCCCCCAGACTCTTTGCTGTTTGCCAGTGGCAGCCTGCGCCCTCAGAGCTTGGTGCCCGAGACACCATCCTCAGCCTTTGCGGGACTCACTCCTAGACTCTTCCTGCTGGGCGGTCCCGCACGCCCTGTATAAAATGGCCCCACCTCCCTTCCTGTCCCGCCATGTCCCCTGCGTTGTCTGTTTCCCACAAGTCTCCTGTTTACTTTTGTGCAGTGTCGGCTCATCCCCTTCCCCGTTGGAGTGGAGGGTCCGTGCAGGCAGTGCAGTTTTTTGGGTCTGTTTCTTTCATTGCTAAATCCTAATGCCTGCTGTTTTTTTAACGAACTCATGAATGGGATACATGAATGGAAAAATCATGCCTAGGAAAAAAGACTAGAAAAAAATAAACCAGAATGTTAATGTGATCTTTTTGTTCTTCCTTTTTAAAAACTATTTTTCAAATCTTATTTGCTGAGTTTGTATTACTTTATCATCCCCTCCCCACCGTGAAAGCAATGTGCTACATACTTGTTGAAGAAAATTTGAAAAACACAGAAAAGCAGAAAATTTAAATGATCTATAATCCTTACTCTGTTGACATGGGAAGGGGAGTGTCTCATACCCTTCCTTCTATATTGCATTTTTTTTTCTTTTTTGAGGTTGGAGTCTCACTCTTGTCACCCAGGCTGGAGTGCAGTGGCACGCTCACTGCAGCCTTGACCTGCTGGGCTTATGCAATCCTTTTGCCTTATATTACTTTTAGTATATAAATTAAACTGGAATACAGCTGTGCGCCGGCTGGCTAAGTGTGCCCTTTATTTACAAAGTCACTGCAGATGAGAGTGGTGTGTCCCAGGTGTGGCTTACAGGAAGCTGGGGCATGAATGGAGCTGTCCGAGGCCAGCAGGCTCCAACCTGCCACCACTACCCTGCGCCAGGCACACCTCGGGCTCCTGTGGCACTTGCAGTGGTGGCTTCCCGTGCTGTCCCCACTGATGTCTCTGCGGGTAGGAACTGAGACTTTTCCACCTAGTTTAGGGCCTGACCGAATGGGCGCTCAGTATGTAGAGCAGGGAAGTCAGCTGGCGGGATGGGGACAAGCAGCATGAGGAACTGGGTGAGGAGGGTGTGGTGGCTTCCCGTGCTGTCCTTGCTTGGCCTGTGAAGGCTGCCCCTGGACCAGCCTCCCCCCCCCAGCCCTCCTCTTTCAGTCTGGGCTCTTGGGTCGGGCCTGGTCAGTGGCTGCAGAGGTCTGATTGTGGGCGGTCATTTTCAGGGGGTCCTGCCAGACAGTGGGCCCTTGCCGAGCAGAGGCCCAAGGAGGCCCCTCTGGTTGCCTTTGCTGGCCTTCTTTTCTAAATAAGAGCCGGTGTTCCTGAAGAATGCAGGCCCTGGCGCCGCTGTGCTTTGAGAGCACTCTTGAACTCGGCCTGGGATGAGTGAAGCGTGTGCTGCTTCACTGGCCAGGAGGGCCTCGGACTGTGCTTTGGTCTGAGCTGCTTGCCTCAAGACGGAATTGGGATGCCACGCTGGAGAGTGCCCACAGAGACGTTACACAGAGAGCTTCCAAGCCTCCTGACCATTGCTGAGAAAGGCCTGCACGGGGGACAGGGACCTAGGCTGCCTGGGCGTGAGGGTTGCTGTGGGTGTGTGAAGCCGCTTTCTTATGCGTGGGCACTTACTAAAGTTGCTGAAAGTGGGAGACATCTGTAAAATATTCTCAAACACCCATAATCCTCTCTCCCTATCTCCCTAACTTATCTCCTCCCTCCCCTAACCTACCTTCCTGTTTATGCTGCTGGTCCTGGTATAACTGGGTTTTGAGCACCTGGGGAGCACCTGGCCTTCCCCTGTTGGGAGGTCATGATTAAGGGCAATTTCTTATTCTGTGCTTTGCTATCAAGGTGTTGTTTTGGGGTCAGAAAAGTAAGTCAGATGTCGGGCAGGAACTTCATGGAGCTGATTTTAGTTCGAGTCAAGTGTTTAAAATGTTCTGTGAGTGATATGTCCTAGAATACTTGGTGCTACTTATTTCTCTTGGCTGCATATTTCTCATTGGTCTTTGCAGATCAGAGATATGAAGGCCTTTAGAAATGTGATTAATAAACCATTGGTGCTGGGATATTGGGTTTAAAGATTAGCAGTACATGGCCTTTTATTCCAAAATGCCATTCCCTAGTTCAAAAGTAATCTTCTTTTGAATCTAAGCCAGTAACGCCTTTATTAGCAAGTAGCTCTTGTAACTGTCCTGGATCTTTGCTTTTCCAGGATAAAATGAATAGGTCAAAAAGTAATCGCTGAGCATTTACAGACAACAAAAGAGATTGGAGGGCCACTCCAAGAAGGAACTTTTAATATAAGTTGGGGACCCTGTCGTTTCCTCTGGGGGTTCATGCAGCAAATAAATATTCTCAAAGTTAGGGTCAGGTGTTAGGTACTGTGTGCTGAGCACTGGGGACACAGAGATTAACAGGGCACTGCTGGTCTCCAGCCTGACTGGCAGGAGACAGGTGCACAGACAACATTGTTGAGGTGAGCAGTACAGGAGGGACAGTGCTAGGATCTGAGACCAGGCTCCAAAAGTTGAAAAGTTGCAGATGTGAAGCCAGGTGAAAGAATAGGGGTTTTAGCCATGGGAGGAGTGAGGAGGAAAGAGTTATCTGAAAGCGATTTAGAAGGGAAGATACTGACCTGTTGAGGTGCGAGAGAGCTTCTTTGGAAATTGTGTGCTGTGACCATGACGTTGGCTAGCTTCATTAAGACAGGAGAGCTGAGGAGGAGATGCAGATTTGGGGCATAGTTAGAGGATTTTCTGTATTTATTTGTAATGGGCTTAGAGACTCTCAAATTATCTCTCCCAGCAGGAAAAAGAGGGAATAATAAACAACTAAGTTATTTGTCTTTGTTTACCTGAAAGTTTTAGTTTCTCTAATTTTAGAGCACAATATATATATATAATTCAGGAATAGGTTTTCTTTCCCCCTGATTCTTTATCTGGTGGGAAACCCTCCCTGATATCTTTCTTTTCTTTTCCTTCTTTTTTTTTTGGAGTTGGGGTCTCACTCTGTTGCCCAGGCTGTAGTGCATGGCACTCTCACAGCCGCCTCAGCCTTCCAAGTAGCTGGAACTACAGGTGTGTGCCACCATACCCGGCAAATGTTTTGATTTATTGTAGAGATGAGGTCTCACCAAGTTGCCCAGGCTGGTTTCGAACCGCTGGACTCAGGCAATCCTCTTGCCTCTGCCTCCCAAAGTGCTGGGATTACAGGCTTATAATCTGCCCTGGTTTCTTAATGGCCAAACATTCGATAAAGACAATACTGGCAAATAAATGAAAGTTCTCCAGAGATTCTGTTTCCTCCAGGTCACCAGCAAAATGGAGCTCAGCTTGTGGGGGCCTGAGGGAGGCGTGATCTGGAGCTCCTTGCCTCTGGGGAGGGCTCAATGGCAGTCGCTTTGTGATAAGTCATTATGTTTGGTTGAGACCAGCAAGGAATCATCTATATAATGTTTCTAACAGTCCTTTCTTTATTTCAGGTATGTAATTTATGTAAAAATCTCTGGTGTAACCAGAATTAATCAAACTATTCAAGCAGTTCTTTGCTCAGTCTTATAAAAGCATCCAGTTGTACCCTTTTGAGTACCGTTGGGTACCTTTTATCCTCTAATTGCCCACCCAAACAAAAAAAAAAAAAAACTCTTGCTGTCGGTTGAAGTGTGAATATGCTTGCCTCATGGTTGTTTATTCCCTCCTGCCGCGGCTAGATCACTACTGGTTACAACCTGGAAGATGACCGCTGTGAGTGTGTTGCCCTGCAGGACTTCCGGGCTGGAGAGCAGGTAGGGTTCAGGCAGTGTTGTGCAGAACAGGGGTCAGCAGTGGGCACCGAGTTAATATTGTGCTGGTAATTCTTAAAAGGCATTTAATGTGCAAAGACAGTTTTGGGATTTTCTCTTCAGGATTGTGTTTTCGGGAGCCCGGGTTGAGCCCTGAAGCCGTAGTATACATGTTGTGCTTTGGGTCCACAAACAAAAGGATTTAAAGGAGTTATTTCCACAGTGGACCTCATATGTGTAACCTTGTCAATTGAAATTAAACTTTGTGTTCTGACACTAAACAATTTTTAAAATTTCATGAACTGCATTGTTTTGATTTCTTTTTCTGTTGACTAGAGCCTTCTTTATAAAAAGGTAGTATTTAAGTGACAAAAATATGAGGGAATCAGGAACCATAAAATCTGTTGTCTCATACTTTCACTTTAATCTGTGATTTGAAAATGAATTCTAATAATTTGGATGGGAGCGGGGTGAAACCTTTCAGGAAGCTTGAAAACATGGATCTGTAAATCCTACCTTCTCTCTACTGGCCCTACAGCAAGCAGGTGATGCAGGAACAGAGCTGACATAAACTATTGACATTCCAATTCGACAAATGAAAAATATTAGTCTAGCAAAGTACTGATCTGTTCTTTCTTCAGAAAAGTTCATAAACCCTCCTGCTGGGTGCAGAATTAATTGCCATAAGATCTAGAAGTAAATTTCTGACAGATACTGCTTTAACTTTTGTTGTTAAAAAGACTCTCCCACATTAAAAGGAGAGGAAGAACAGGATGAATTTTAAAGGGTGGTCTTCGAGTAATAGCTGTGCTGTCCCTTAGAAGGAGGAGAGGATTGTAAGAGAGGCCTGATCTAGTGCCGCATGCCTGTAGTCCCAGCTACTCAGGAGGCTGGCGCGGGGAGGTCCCTTGAGCTCAGGAGTTGGAGGTTGCAGTGAGCCATGATGGCACTACTGTGCTCCAGCCTAGGTAGCGGAGTGAGACTTTGTCTCAAAAAAAAAAAAAAAGACTCATAAAAAGAGAGACAGGTTGACTTCAGGGCATCCGGGATCCTTTGTGTGCTCGTGAGGCCCTGGCCTCCCCTCTGTCACTTGGTGATGGAAGTGGGTGCTTGGCCTCACCCCATCTCAGACAGTTTGGGGAGCTGACAGAATTGTGCAGCTTCACCTTCCAACACATGACATACCAAATAGGTGTATAGTTACTTTAAGCTGTTTTGCCTTATTAATATAAAGTAGCGTTAAATATAAGAACGAATCGTTTGTCCTGCTCTGTATTAAGTCTGCATGTTAAGCTTATGTCCTTTTATTTTTTCTTTGCTGTATCTCAGATTTACATTTTTTATGGCACTCGGTCAAATGCAGAGTTTGTGATCCACAGTGGTTTTTTCTTTGACAATAACTCCCACGACAGAGTGAAAATAAAGCTGGGAGTGAGTAAAAGTGACAGGCTCTACGCCATGAAGGCTGAGGTCTTGGCCCGCGCCGGCATCCCCACGTACGTAGAACACAGTGTTCGCCCCTCTCCTACAGTACTTGAACTATTTCCAGTTTCATAGTGCTTAATTGGGGTGTTAATAAAACTTCTCTACAGTAGTTTGTCTTAATCCCTTTATCCCTGTTGCACAGCAAATTTAAACCATAGCGATGCTTGGTAATTTTACCAGCGTTTTTGGTAAACATAATTGTGTCATTGGGAGCACTCACAGTAAGTTCTAGGGGTTGTGGCCTGGAATCCTCATTAAGTTAAATAAGTACTTTGGTATCATTAATGTCTTTCACCTTGAAAAGGTTAATGACCCGGATCAATTTGTTTCATTTAATTCTTTGCCACCATTAGTTTCTGTAATGAAGTCATGATCCTCAGTGATTTCAAGAATTTCTAGTTAAATTCTATAAGATTTTCTTGCATTTGAGGTGGAAAATGATCAAGAAGACAGGAATTATGATTTATTAGTTCTCCAGGGAATGGAGGAACCATTCTTAATGAAAATGGATTATCCAGACCTTTTTTTATTGAACTTGTCAATATTTGATTAATGATTAAAGTGTGAACTCAACATAAATTATCGTTAACATTTTTTAAGAACCATGGATCTGTTTAATTCTCTGAATATGTTGTGTGCAACCTGAGATTACTGCTGTTAGGCTCTAAGAAAATCTGGTGGGGATGGACTGCCAGGGTGGCCATCAGTCCATCAGCCCCTGCCCACTGCCCCTTGCAAGGATGGAAAAATCTGGTGTCCTAGTTCAGGTGAGGAGTTGGAATGGCTCGTTCCAGCCCTACTCACCTTAAGGATGACCACACATGCGGTAGACGGAAGGAATTTCACTTGGGAGCAAGTGGGCGTCTGCAGCAGGGTGGCTGATTTGCTTTCTGCTTTTGTCAGTTCCAGCGTGTTTGCGTTGCATTTTACGGAGCCACCCATCTCTGCCCAGCTTCTGGCTTTTCTCCGAGTATTCTGCATGACCGAAGGTAAGTCACTTTAGAAAAAAAGAAATGTTGACTTTTAAAAAAAAATTCATAAAAGTGTAAAGCCTGGGGATTCAGGTTACAGATCAAGAAGTTTAAAGCTAAAGCACTTTTGGGAAGAGACAATACTGGAGAAAGAAGAAATTGATCTGTTTTACCCTGGAAATGTTTTGTTAAATCTTCACTGCATTGTCGGTACACTTATAGTTCTCTTCTGCATTTGAAGAAAACGAAAACCACCTTGCGTGGTCTAAGTGTGTGCGAATTTTGCATTTCTAGACTGATAGAGCCTGATTTCACTCTCAGGGCGCTAGTCTCTCTAATTTACCTGGGGAAGCTCCACGCTCAGTTGAGGCTGTGATGCTATGTAGTCAGCTGTGACATATGTGGACCATAGGACTTCGTTTGTTAACCAACTCTGCGTTCTAAATCTGAAATTGCCATCAAGTATTCTAATGCCAAGCATCCTGTTAGAGTAAATAACATTGCAAACAGAATCTGTGTGGAACACAGAACGTTCTTGGCTACAGCCTCATATTTCAGGCCCAGAAAGAGTTAAACATATGAATTGAACATCTACTTTTATATTTGCTTAAGACAAATTGGGGTTTCTTGCACTGAGATTTGACAACCTTTCGTGGTTGGATTTTTATTTCTTATCCTAAAATGCACTCCTAATTCCCTGGTAGTGAGGGTTCGTTTAATGATATCTGTGTGTTACTGTTGTTGGTAAACTACCTTAAATTCTCTACAGAGCTGATTGGATGGGAATAAGTGAGTGAACGAATGAACGAATGAATGGTCGACCAAGTGAACAGAATGAGTGTTCTTCTGGAAGGAAACTACCCGAGCACTCGGGAGAGGGCAGGCGGGTCAGAGCAGCAGTCGTGCCCGTGGAGTGGGGGCTGCCATGCCCTGCTGTCGTCGGCTTGGGCCTCTGTGTCTTTCTCCAGGGAGTGCTGCTGCACTCGTCCAGGCGTCAGGCTGGAGGCAGAAAAAGCGCCGTCCCCAGCAAAGAGAGGCGCTTCGGACACAGGCGCAGAGCCCAAAGTGGGATGTGGTCATTGTTCCTAACACACAGCCGTGTAGTGGAGACATGCCATCCTTCCGGTGGGGGCTTTTGGAGATTTCTGTACTTTGGTAGCGGTTTCATCAGTGCAATTTAATGAACATAAGTTAAGGGTTAATTGTGGATCTCTCTCTCTCTCACACACACACATACACACACACACACACACACACGCACGCACACACACACAGATACAAAGTTGAGTGTCAGTTCATATCTTGAAGGAATTCATAATTAAGAGAGAGAAGCCGGGCTCGGTGGCTCAGCCTGTAATCCACAGATACAAAGTTGAGTGTCAGTTCATATCTTGAAGGAATTCATAATTAAGAGAGAGAAGCCGGGCTCGGTGGCTCAGCCTGTAATCCCGCGCCTTTGGGAGGCTGAGGTGAGTGGATTGCCTGAGCTCGTGGGTTCGAGACCCACCTGGGCAGCGAGACCTCATCTCTACAATAAATCAAAAAATCAGCCGGGCGTGGTAGCGCATGCCTGTAATTCCAGCTACTCGGAAGGCTGAGGCGGAAGGATCGCCAGAGCCCAGCAGGTCAAGGCTTCGGTGGCCGGGAGCGGCCGCTGCACTCCAGTCTGGGCGACGGAGTGAGACTCCAACTCAAAAAAAATAATAATAATAATTAAGAGAGATGATGCTGACAATATTCCTAGAATTTGTGGAGTACTTACTATATGCCGGGCATGATGCTAAATGCGGTCCCTACTTAATTTTAATCTCATCAGCCTTGCATGATAAGTGTTCCCATTTCACTGATGTGGAAATTTCGATTCAGTGAGAATATGTAACTTGGCCAAGGCTGTACAGCAGGCAAGTGATGACCCTACTTAGACCCAGCTCTGTTAACTCCAGAGCTTATTTACACTCAGGGCTTCCATGTTGCTTCTGCTGGTTTGCAAGTGAAGTCATCCACAGAAGAAAGTCTTTAGGACTGCAGGGAGTCTGCAGGAAACAGTGTTTGGATTAGACTCGAGCACAGTTAAGGTTTGGGCTTGGTGGAGGAAGGGCAGGAGGAGCGGGACAACTGAGGACATTCGCAGCAGAGCGAGGAGCTGGGGCAGGGGCCAGGCCGAGGGGTGAGCTGTGCTGGGCTGTGCACTCTTCGGGGCGACAGACACTCAGGCCGTCATAGGCTGGAATGAGGCGCAGGGGATGGTGTCGGCGGTCTGTTAGCGAGGAAAGCATGGGAGACACCTGCCCGCAAGTACTAGCTTCGTCACCCATGTCCAGGCAGGTCACGGGGGATTGTCTTATTCCCCATTTTTTGTGGGTTTGATTTCTCTAGGAATGTGAGGTGAGTCCAGTTTCCCTATTGAAAAGCGGCAGAGAGAAAGCTGTGAGTCTCAGCTTCCATGATTGCAGAGGAGAACTTGGGCGGGCTGAGGAAGCCACAAAGGAGGGAGACAGTCATCTTACTATTTGGGGGCTTCCGAAAAGAAGAAATCTCAGCTACTAAGGAAGCTTTAAAAAACGAAACAAGGCTTCATTGCTTTATACAAAGAATATAAAATGAAAAATCCAAGATCGAAAAATCCTGAATTTTATCATGATCTTTACCAATGAATACAACTTAATAAACTTTTGTGAGCACTGGATAACTTTTGTTTTCTTTTAGAAAAACAATTGCTTGAATCCTTTTAGGCCCTTTGAGTCTCTTTAGTTTTTCTTTAGTCATAGAAAGACAATTTGTCATGTCAAGACAATTGATGTATCTTTGAATTACTCCAACTAATACTAATAAAAGTTGGGTTTGCTGGCAGCAGAAGTTCTTCCATTTGAATTGTAAATAGTGACAGCTGTGGGGCATTTTGCTCTGAAAGAGATACTGTCTCATAATTATGGAAGAACATGGGTATATTTCTTGAGCATGAATGGGCTCGGCATGTTTTGGTTTTGGAGATAATGTGCGAGGAAATAAAGTGTTCCGAGCAGTTGCTTAATTCTTGCCTCTTCTTAAATATATTTGAAGGTGATTGAGATGTTCACTTGTGTTTATTTGTAATTCCTATTTAAATTCCTGGCAAGTGAGGGATATGGGCACATTTTTCATTAACTAGGATTTTTATAGTCTTGTTTCTTTCCATTTGTGGCTTGTTACAAGATGAGATAAATAAACTTGGTCAAGACAGCTACTGGAATAAGCACCCCTCAGACTTACGTTTAGAGGGATCACAGGATTGTTGTGACTGCTGTTTGTTTCACCGTTGACAGTGGTCATCTAAATGTCTCTTTGACCCAGTTGGCACGACTGGGTACTGGCAAGATAAGGAGTATGTGGCTGTAGATTGCCCTGAAAAGTATCTTGTGAAACTGCAGGCTCTTAGCGTCCCTCATAAAAACAATGAGAAATGGAGTGCTGCGCCAGTGCTTGGTCTCCAAAGCCAGGAGGCCTCACTGTCTTTCCTCCCCTAAAACTTAGCTCCGGCTCTGTTTGGAGAGTCTAGAAATGGTTGGGCGAATTGAGCAGGAGAGCTTTTAACCCCAGAGAAGTGACATTATTGGAAAGGATATTTTCTAAGGTGGAGTGACTGTTAAATGAGAAGTGGTGCTGTTTCTTCCTCCTAACGGATTGCTATTTGTATTTCTTGTAGAAGAATTGAAAGAACATTTGCTGGGAGACAATGCCATCGACAGAATCTTCACCTTGGGTAACTCTGAATTTCCTGTCAGCTGGGACAATGAGGTCAAACTTTGGACGTTTCTTGAAGATAGAGCCTCGCTTCTGTTGAAAACATACAAGACAACTATTGAGGTAATCAGACTGAATCAATGTGGATTAAGAGATTTCTTCCTAAATGTAAATTACTATAATTCTTTAGCAGAATAATTGTGTATTTGACATTTTTCATTCAGCACACTACTCTTTTTTTCTATTTAACATGTTGACATTTATACAGAAAAATCATATTCAGTCATTGTTCACTAGAAGATACATTTTAAAAATTATGTAATACTCTTTGTACTTTTTTTTTTTTTTCCTGAGTTGGAGTCTCATTCGGTCGCCCAGACTGGAGTGCAGTGGCCATTTCCGGCCACCGCAGCCTCGACCCGCTGGGCTCCGGCGATCCTTCCCTCAGCCTTCCGAGTAGCCGGAATTACAGGCGTGCGCTACCACGCCCGGCCGATTTTTGGATTTATTGTAGAGATGAGGTCTCGCTGCCCAGGCAGGACTCGAACCCACGGGCTCAGGCAATCCACTCACCTCAGCCTCCCAAAGGCGCGGGATGACAGGCTGAGCCACCGAGCCCGGCTACTTTTTATACTTTCTATAAATTCATATCATTCCACAAACATAAGTTTTCACTTGAGCGTTTAAAGGCCACCATTGAGCCACTGACTTCAAGAATATCTTTCTCGCTCATTCACTCACTCATTCATGCCACTCACCCAAGTGCTGCCTTGTGCTCCGTCAGTGCAAAAGACAAACAGAGGGTGATGCTCCCTGGCAGACGTGGTGACACAGTTTGGTTTAGGCTCTTCTTTCTTGTTTTGTAACAGTTTTGTTGAGGCTTGATTTGCATGCGACAAAATGCACACGTCTGCGTTGTACGTTGTGGTGTGTCCCATCATGCCACCACCGGCCCAGTCAAGCGCCCCGAGAAGCTCCCTCTTGCCCTTCTCCCCAGCTGCAGCTGTGCTACCTTCTGTCTCTGTAGTTTTGCTGAGTTAGACTTCTTATAATTAATTTTGCTCTTTTGTTTTCCAGGAAGATAAGTCCGTCTTGAAAAACCAGGACCTTTCTGTTCGTGCCACAATGGCCATCAAATTGCGTTTAGGTGAGAAAGAGATTTTGGAGAAAGCTGTAAAGAGCGCAGCTGTCAACCGGCAATACTACCGCAAGCAGATGGAGGAAAAGGCTCCACTTCCCAAATACGAAGAGAGTAACCTTGGGCTGTTGGAGAGCAGCGTGGGGGACTCGAGGCTGCCCCTGGTTCTGCGGAACCTCGAGGAGGAGGCCGGAGTGCAGGAGGCCTTGAACATCAAAGAGGCCATCGGCAAAGCGAAGGCCACAGAAAACGGGCTCGTAAACGGCGAAAACTCTGTCCCCCACGGGACCAGGTCCGAGAGTGAAAGTTTAAAGCAGGACGGAAGTAAAAGGGCCATGGAAGACACCCAAGGGTCTTGTTTGGACAGCACGGGTGGAGCTAAGGAGTAGCTCCGCGAGGAGGCTCGAGCTGGCAGGCGGTTCAGGCCAGCAGGAGCTTAGGACAGCCCATCCCCGTCGCCGTGTTTCCGTGTTGACACTTTTCTTTCTGCAGAGAGGAGAATATGTTTTTGCTGCTTTGTACGAAAATGGTTTTTTTAAGTTATTTTAAAAATCTAGCTGCCCTTTTTGATTAAGATGGCCATCTTGCTTCTAGGCGAAACAAACCAGTTAGCAAATCACATCAACAAAGGGGAAAGAGGTGCCTTGGCAGATTCCGCAGGCCTGTTGCGGGCAAATGTGTTTTCTTCCTGGGGAAGAACGCCATTCCCCCATGTGCTGTGCCTTGGTGGGTCTGTCATCTTGACAGCCAGAATCAGCGCTCGCTCTGCCTGCCGCCAGCAAAAGCTGGGGGTGGGACTTCAGGCATTTGGGGTGAAGGCGGGGAAGGTGCACAGCCGAGGCAAAGTGGGAAACCTTGGAGTTGGGGCAAAAGCTTTGGTTTTCCTCCTAAAAAAAATAACACCGTAGTACCAAAAGCAAAGGTAAGGTGGCACCCTTATTTTTAATAGTTTTAAATGTTGATGATAATCCTAATTATATAAATATATATATATATATATATAAACACACACACATATATCTCTAGTGATTTCTAAAGATTTGTTTACTTTTTGTGTTTTGTTTTACTGTACTAAGAACTTGTCCTTTCTCCTTGAATCAAAGTAGGACATGCATCATCCTCCTAATTTTAAATGTTGGCTCTGATTTTAAAGCGATGCGTTTGATTCCAGCCTTGGTAGAGGGGAGTTTGCAAACACACAGCAGCCTACAGCTTTACGTGGCGGTGTTCAGAGCAAGGCTTTTCTGGTTTTCACAACAAGCTAGAGATTTTCAAAGCTCCACTTTTGAGTAAAAGCCCTTATTAAAAGAAAAACATGATTAAGATTTTGTCTGTTCCTTTTTCTGGAGTGGGACAGGCCCTTTGAGTTGAGCTTTTATGTCAGCCGCCATACTTATTTCCTCAGCTTCGTTTGTACCTTGACCTTGTGTCCACCTGGAGACACACAGATGGACAAGGAGCCAGCATGGGGCCCTGAGGCCTCCAGTGGGCTCCCCTCGTCAGCTCATCAACCCACAAGGGCAGCAGGAACACAGGAAAAGGAGTAGTCAGGTTTTGGGGAACTAAGAGGTCGGGAGGGACAGCACACTGGGGGCAGGAGAGGTCGCCTCCAGAAAGCCGCCAGTGTTCAGGTTCGTGGCACCCATCTTCCGTAACTGCAGATTTTCAAATTGTCTCTGATGTCCTGACACTGCTTATTTTGAAAATGCTATGTAAATGATTCACTCAATGCTGCTGCAATACAGATAGTCCTGAGATTGCTCTCGGAGTTTCTCCTTGGGGAACACACAGCTCTGCAGATAAATCACCTGGGTCGCCACTGCCACTTTAGGTGAGTAAATACATGGCCGTGGGCTGCTCAGCAGGTTGGTGTGCGAGCTGCATGGGACACGGGTGGCAAGCACCGTCTCTGTGAGACTGGGAGCGCTCGCTGGGGTTGACGTCTGAAACTTTCCTCACTTGGTGACAGGTACCAAGAGGAAACGTGGGACTGCCAGCTCTCCTCTCAGCCTTATCCCTGAGACGCTTTACCAAAAATACCGAACAGTCTATGAAGCTGACACATTGACTTCCAAAAGGCAGTAGCGCCGCGGCTCTCAGGCAGTTTGCTACTCTGGCAAACTGGAGACTAGAGCTTTCATGGCCAACCTGTCTAGATGTGTCCCCTTATAGGGTTACAAATTTCCAAGCCTAATATTAAGAATGTTTCTTGAAAATGTATATCCAGTTCAGATGTAGAATAGCATCATGGGAGGGGATAGTTTTAAAGGAGTTCTGTTGAAGCTTAAAAAGTATTTTTTTAGCCTTTTATTTTTATTTTGAGTTGGAGTCTCACTCCGTCGCCCAGACTGGAGTGCAGTGGCCGCTCCCGGCCACCGCAGCCTTGGCCTGCTGGGCTCCGGCGATCCTTCCGCCTCAGCCTTCCGAGTAGCCGGAATTACAGGCACTCACTACCATGCCCGGCTAATTTTTTTGATTTGTTGTAGAGATGAGGTCTCGCCAAGTTGCCCAGGCGGGTCTTGAACCCACGGGCTCAGGCCATCCACTCACCTCAGCCTCCCAAAGGTGAGGGATTACAGGCTGAGCCACCGAGCCTGGCTTGTATTTCACCTTTTAAAAAATTTTTTGAGTCAGGGTCTCACTCTGCCACCCAGGCTGGAGTGCAGTGGCACAGTATGGCTCACCACAGCCTCAGCCTCCTGGGCTCAAATGATCCTCCCACCTCAGCTTCCCGGGTAGCGTGCGTAACCATGCCCGGCCAATGTTTTGATTTTATGTAGAAACAAGATCTCGCTATGTATTGCCCAGGCTGGTCTCGACCTCCTGGGCCCAAGTAATCCCCCCACCTCAGCCTCCCAAAGTGGTGGGATTACAGGCATGGGCCACTGTGACCAGCCACGCTCCATCTTTAATAAGTGTCATAATGTCCATTTCCAGGAACTCAGTTTCTTCACTCTTTTGTAAGAAGAAAGAATGGTAGTAAATTATCCTAGGTCCGTGCTTAAAAATTCAGAGATACTTTTCTCTGCCAATTAATTCTTGGCCGACAGACTTTATTTGTTAAGGTTATTGGACCAAAAAGTGATTATGTAAGTTATGCTTCCAGTTGAGAGAGAGCAGCCTCTGGGCAGCGTACAAATGGCGCTCAAAGAACAGAGCTGTCGTGAGGCCCGGAGACGGCATCCATGGGCCAGCATTGCTTCCCTGACTCGGGGAGAAGTGCCCCAAGATGACTCTTAGGCCGGCGAGACCGCAGCCCGCATTTGTCATCCTCCCTGCCTCGTTCCGGCACTGTCGCCGGGGCGCTGCCTGCCCAAACACTCACAGCTACAACTTAAGCACTCGAGAATCGAGGGAAAGCGATTAAATCGGCATTGAAGAACCCTCATTGCCATCTGTCATGAAAATAGACCTTTCCCTCAAATCGTTTTAAAGTTTACTTTCTTCCTAATGCTTTTGGATAAGGGGTTGTTCAGGCTAGTCACTGGAAAAATGCCAGTCTCCACTTCTGTTTCGTCGCTCTGTGTGTTATTTGTGTAAACAGTTAGCAATTAGATTTCACCAGCCTAGAAAAACCACCCAGTTTTTTTAATGCAGACTGGCAGCGGATAGGTGGTTCTTCCCCAAAAGCTTCTAGAGTAGGTTCACTAAATGATATATTTAATTTTTTTTTTAGTGATAGGACAAGACATTAGAAATAATCCCAGGTTTCCAGTGTACAAGGTTACCTAAACTAAACCTCCACTTAAAAATGAAGGAATTGAGCCGGGCTCGGTGGCTCAGCCTGTAATCCCGTTGCCTTAGGAGGCCGAGGTGAGTGGATTGCCTGAGCCCGTGGGTTCGAGACCCGCCTGGACAACTTGGCGAGACCTCATCTCTACAATAAATCAAAAATCAGCTGGGCATGGTAGTGCGCACCTGTAATTTCGGCTACTTGGAAGGCTGAGGCGGAAGGATTGCCAAAGCCCAGTGGGTCGAGGTTCCGGCCACTGCATTCCAGTCTGGGCGACAGAGTGAGACTCCAACTCAAAAAATAAAAAATAAATTTTAAAAAAATGAAGAAATTAATTTTCTGTAAATCATTGCTTCTACTACATACACATACATGTGTATCTATATGGTTAGTAGGTATATGTTGAAGAGAGAGAATAAAAAAGCCAACCCAAAGAAAGGGGCTGGGACTTGGGCACAGGACTGAAAGGCACTGAATTCTTGAAGAAAACAGGGAACCGTAGTGGTGGTTGGTTTGTGGGGTACGTTTCAGAGCGCTCAGATCTTCGAGTGTTGACTGTAAACCATAGCTGTGGTGAGAAGCTCTTCAGAGCATGTATTTTACCGTATTCCTGTTGTTATTGATCTTGCAACATGAGTGCATTTAACAGGGTGTAGCTGGTAAGCCTGCCCAGGAACTTGACTCCCTCTTATTTAAATGTTAGTTTGAGGGAGGTATAGCATAGAATCCCATAACCTCACTAAGGGTCACCCTACTATTTTCATCAGCAGCACGTTCCATAATGTAGTCCTCCAATTCTGTGTGTAAATTGAATTTGAATAACTCGAATTGTATTTAAATGCACTGGCAGATTTGTTATTTAAATGAAACGTCCCTGCTAGTCCCTGGGATGCTTAGTCTGGAGAGAGGAGGCTTAGCAGGGACGTGATCTTCCTGTCTTCACAGATTTGGAGAACTGTCCCACGAAGGGGGGCGGGGCAGGGCAGGAGGCACAGCGGGGGGCCTGGAGTGGGAGGCAGAGTTCAGCCTGGGAGGGAGCACTCCCCAAGGGCTTTTGGGAGGAGGCTGGCGGCTCTGGTGGTGATGCGCTGTGGCCATGGGGCATCTGGATCCTGTGGACCTGGTTCCATGCATGGCCTGCCTCGCTCCCGGGTGTGGGACCTGGGCCAATCATGGACGGGTCATGCCATGGGACATCTGGATCTCGTGAACTTGGTTCCTGGGCCAATCGTGCTTTGGTCACCTCCTTCAGGGACTCCTGTGCTCACTACCTTGAGGTGCTGGGAGGACCTCATGAGCTAGTGCGTGTAAAGGTGTCCCGGCATCTGCACCTGCCCAGCGGCCAGTAAATATTAGTGGTGACAATTTCCTAAGCCTGAGCCATTCTGGGAGGCAGAAAGTGTTCATACTGGGGGTAGCAGAATGATGCCTGCTCTGCCGGCAGGCAGCGTGCAGCTCATCTGTTTCTTGAATTAGGAACCTGGACTTTGTACCGTTGTGTCCTTGGTGCAATGCTGGATTCTGTGGCCAGTTCAGAGACTCATAAGAAACCTGCTCTCGTGCTGAAGCAGACATTGGAACAAATGGCAGCAGCCCGGCCGTGTGCTGCATTGCACAGGAGAGATGGACACGTGCTGTGGCGCTCAAGGGAACAGCAGCGTTGGAGGAGTGGCATGTGGCTGGGCCGTGGAAGTGGGGAGATCCCCTGAGGCCAGCGAGAAGCAGGGGAGGGCCAGCTGTGTCCAGGTGGGGTCAGAAGCTCCGGCTCCAGGAGGAAGCCTGCCGGAGTCATTGGGGCCTAAGTGCACCTCGTGTGTGTAGCTGCTTGGAGCTCGTAGTGAGCGAACTTAAGCAGAAACAGCCTAGTGAACCAGGCGCAGTGGCTTAACTTGTAATCCCAGCACCTTGGGAAATGGAGGCGAGAGGATTGCCTGAGCCCAGGGGTTCAAGACCAGCCTGGACAACTAGGCAAGACCTCATCTCTACAGTTAAAAAAAAAAATTAGCCGAGTGTGGTGGCACACGCCTGTAGTTCCAGCTATCGGGAAAACTGATGCAGAAGGATCATCTGAGTCCAGCAGGTCAAGGCCGCGGTGGTCTTGAGTGTGCCACTGCAGTCCAGTCTGGGTGACAGAGTGAGACTCCAACTCAAACCCCCCCCCCAAATAAAACAGCCTAGTGGTCACCAGTCCCTTCAACACAAATGCTGCCCTTCGTAGAGCACTTAGAAACAAGCGGAAAGTGCATAGATACAGGGGTGCCAAAAAATGTATATATGTTTTAAGTGTGATTGCTCGAAAGATGGTGTTAGTCGAATGAAGGCTAGTGTCGCCATGTGACAGGCAGGACAGTCAAAATGGCAGAAGCACGGTTGAGCGAATGTCATACTGCACATTGCTACTGTAATTCAACTCAACTTCGAAAACTAACACATAGATAACATTTCTTGAATTGTGTGTACATTTTTTTGGCACCCCTGTATGTATATATGTACGAATAGATAAAGCTTTTCCAAAACTCATTCTTCTGCTTCAGTCAGCAGAGAAGCTATGCAGCATGGCGCTGGCCAAACTTGAAAGCCAAAGGAGTGTGT